CTACAAAGGCAAGAAGTGACTGGTTTACAAGCTTTCAAGAGGGAACCTAGAGCCAGGGGGCATGGAGGAAGGTAGAATCTCCAGTGAGTACTATCCAATCTGTCTAGGCGGAGCTGATGAAATGAAATGCAGATGGGTCTCTAGAGATACAATAGTGAATAATTGTTATCAGGATGGATTGTGAGGGATGGAAATTTAAAGGTAGACGTTTTATAGCAAGGAGCGGAGTTCCCTAGGAGCCGAGAGCGGGACCCTACTCAGAGAAGCAGCAAAGCCTGAGATGGATGCAGAGATGATGACGTGGAGCGATGGAGCAGCTGGGGACTTTAGATCCAGAAAGGGAGAGGGACTGTGTGCTGAAGACTGCGGGGGGTGGGGGTGGGGGTGGGTGAGTGTAGGGGGCAGCCTTGTGTATACCCTTTGGTTGGTTGATGATGCATGGAGGGGACTGGAACCATGGCAATGAAGTGATATACGATAGAATGAATGTAAAACGAATGTTCTCCCATATAAACTATCATATAATTCACAATAAAACATTTAAAAAAAAAATCAGTCAGTGAAAAACCCTTTGGATCACAGTGGTCTGGTCGGTACCCAATCGTGGGGCTGGTGCAGGACTGGGCAGCCTTTTGTCTTGTGTGTATGGGGGTCTCAATGAGTCAGGTAAGCTCAACAGGAGCTAATAACAACAAGGGTAAGGGTCACTGCATTGCTGTGCCTTCCTTCTCGGGTCTACTTGAAATACAAGTTAATAGGAACAGGCCGTTGCTACGGCTGCATACCATCAAGTTGGTTCCAACTCATAGTGACCATGTATAGGTTTCAGAGGATGCAGAAAGCCTTATCTTCCTCCTGCAGAGCAACTGGTGGATTCAAATCCACTATGTGGAACAGGCTAGTAATCACTAAATGCAAGTACATTTCCTTAAGAAAATATTTCATTTTTAAAATGTAAGCATGCATACGATATAACAACTTATTTTAAGAATGTATCTAAGTTTCATACTAATTCATGAGGAAAGTATGGCAAGAAAGCTATTTTTTTTAACAGATTTTTTTAAAAATAGAAATCAATTAAAAAGTTTTACATACTGGGAGAATTTCTTCTAAACCTTCTGATCTAACTAGAAACTAAATGAACAATTTATCATCTTTACATAAGAGCTAAGCAATGCTGGTAAAGATAAGAATATTTCACTTTGATTTCATAATTATAAGCAGAATCACTTTTGTTATTAATTGAATATGGGAAACTTACCACACCAAAGCTATAGATGTCAGACTTGGGTGTGATTTCTCCTCGCAGAGCTTCAGGTGCCATATAAGCTGTTGTTCCCACAATTCTGCTCGTCATGACTGTCTGGGCAAACTTCTGAGAAGCCCGTGCAAGCCCAAAGTCAGATATTTTGGCTATGAAGGCTTCATCTAATAAGATATTAGCACTGAAAAAAGTTTGAAGTTTAGAGCAAAAAACTGTTTTTCTTCCCCAACAAGTCATTTTATTTTTTATCTATCTATCTATCATCTATCTATCTATCTATCTATCTATCTATCTATCTATCTATCTATCTGTCTGTCTGTCTGTCTGTCTGTCTGTCTGTCTGTCTGTCTATCTATCTATCTATCTATCTATCTATCATCTATCTATCTATCTATCTATCATCATCTATCTATCTATCTATCTATCTATCTATCTATCTATCATCTATCTATCACATATCATAAAAGCCTGATATTTGTGGAAATAAATTTGGAATTCAGATTATAGCTCAAGAGAAATCACTGTGTTTTTTCCCTTTTGTTTCTTGAGAAAAGTTAAGAAACTAGAAATAAAACTGCCAAGCCAGTGACCAGAGTCCTGGTTTGAAGAACTCAAGTTTGGTTTGAGCCACAAGGTTGGCGGTTCAAACCCACCAGCCACTCCTTGGAAACCCTATACAGGGCCACTATGAGTTGGAATCGACTCAAATGCACTTAACAACAACATGCCAGTGACAGACATTTTCATTATTTCATAAATAATTGACTATAGGGAAATTCCTCTCATAATCTTCTAAGGAATCATTCTTGATTACTTTCCTAACATTTCTCAATTCATATAAAAACAAATTTCTAACTAACTTTTTAGAATTATCTTTTTGTCTGTACTATCTGAAATCTTTTGAGGAATGACTATGGCTAAAAGATCTTTATTTATTAATTATATGTATTCATTTATGCTACTTTTCTTCATTATTGAGGATTCCATGAGTATTAGTATATAAGCTTGATGCTACATATGGGTGGAATCTTACAATCATATCTTTAACAAAGGCATGTGAATAAATTATTAAAAACAAAACAGTGGATGGTACATAGTGGAGGTACTACAAAATGCTGTGAGAACAACCATGTACCTGGAAGAACTAAGGGAAGTTCCAAAGAGAAGGTGACAAGTGTGTGTAAAGAAAGGCAGATCAGGCAACTGAGGCAGCATGTACAAAATAACAAAAACATGACAGCCTGCGGTGCACAATACGATCAAATGCAAGAGATTGGTGTGAATAGAAAATGGGGTGAATTTGAACAGAATACCAACTAAATTTTTCATAATGGAGGACAAATGTTATCAGACTTGAGTTTTAGGATCACAGTCCCGGCAGAGCTGTAGGGAGGAGATGAGTACTGACACACACTGGTTGTACATTGTTGACCAGTTAGGAAGCTTTGCAACAACATAAATGAGAGCTAATGAGAGTCTACACACAAGGCAGTGCACTGGGCTAAATATGAACTGAAAACTTTGAGGAACAGTCAGCAGGACTTTATAGCTAATAGGATACGGGGAATAAGAAATAATCTAGGAGACTGGATCAACAGTGATCACTGGATCCAAAGCATGTGGGTTAGAAGAGATACTTAGTTTGATTTCTTTCTTTCTTTTTATTAAGTTTTTATTGTGAATTGAGTGAAAGCTTACAGGGCAGAGCATCAGTTTTACATTCAACAAATCATATAATTTGTTTCATTACAATGATTATAATCCCCTCCAGGTACCATCGGTTAACAGTATTTTCTCTATTCATTTTAGTTCCTTTTTTAAAAACACTCAGGCCTATATAATAATTTACACCACCAAAGGGCACATTCTACAAGTCTGCCTCCTGGCCACCCTCTCTCAGTCCCTCTCTTTCCATGAATCTAGAGTCCTCAGGTGCTCGCTCTCTCCATGTCCCCACCTCTGCCCCAATCTCTGGTGTTGCTGCTTCTCTGGATAAGGTCTCGTATTCCACTTGTGCTCTTCTCCCTTGACGGTCCTAGGGTCCTCTGTTTCTGGACTGTAAGATTAACTGCTCCCCTGGTTTTGTAACAAAACTTCTACTTTTACACTTGTGACAGCTGCAATTAATCATGATAACAATTACTCACTACTGACTCATAAGAAACTTACCCCCATCTCTTTTTACCAGACCCATCTAGACAAGATGAAAATTAGTCAGTGGGGACTATATCTTCCCTCACACACTCTCAGTTAACAGTGTTTCTCTCTATCCTCTTTAGCTTTTTTTGGGGGGGTGGGGGTGGGGGTGGAACTTTGCCTTTTTGGAATTTACAGTCTCGGCTTTTAGGGAAGGTTTTTACATTTATCTGTGGATATCCAGGGCTCATGTATGCGATTACTAACAAGCATAACTGAATAATCAGATGAGGGACAGTTTGCTATGTCTGCTAGGTGGCTAAAGTCTGATCCTCAGAGCCTATGGTTTGGATGGTCTGCAACGCTTGGGCCCATAGGGCCTTGAACTCCTGACCGGGTCTGCACGGTCTGCATCAGATTCCCCCTTATTTATTATTTGTTTAAGGGACGCTGCCTGTCTTAGGTGGTCAGTGCGAATTCCTCCATCTTACCTGTCATTGAAAATCATTGCAGCATGGCAATGAGTTTAGGTTGCTGAGGTTCCACGTGATCCTTACCCGTCTCTGGCCACACGTCCAGCATAAACAGCCGCCATCCGAGGAAGGCAGGGAGGGAGGAGAACAGCTGGGGACCCCTACGCAAGACGTTGCCAGACCACCACCTGCTCTAAGGTGACCAAGCTGAGGTTCAATCAAGTTCTTAGGGGATCTTAATCTCTAGCAGGGGTAGCAAATTAGTAGTCACTCACTGCTCAACTTGAGAATTACTTATATCAGAAATTTGAGCATGTAGCTGATGGATATCCACAGACAAGTGGATATTATTCCACAACCTCCTAAAATGCTGTTGAATTAAGTTCCAATCAAGTTCTGGATTACTGAAAAATAACATAAATCTACTTATATCGTGACCCTCACACACTCTTAAACTAAACTCCCTCTTGAAACCTTGTAAGCCAGTCACTTTGAGTCTTTATCTCCCCATGATTTTAGGTAGCCAATGTCTAAGTTGCCAGTCCCTATCTACCCTGTATACAGAGGGGATAGCATTAATACTTAATTTGAAGACTCCTTTCCTCTCTGTTGGTATTTTGAACTACTACAACCATAAGTATAGGTCAAGTTAATCAAATTGTAGCAATTTACACTGTTTCCTTTATCAAAAATTGTGGGGTTTTTTTATCTTCCTCGAGTTGAGTTCTGATTATCTAGCCATTTAGGCTAGGTCAAATGGGTACTATCTGCAAATCTGGGTGTTCTTGTGTGTCTCCCCTCACTTCAGATTAGCTGGATGTTTCACTCTCAGCTCTAGCCCTCTGTGGCTATGTCCTTGTTTGTGGGCTCAGGCAGCCCCAGGTTTCACCACCCTTTGGACCAATCAGCCCTTCCTCTTCTCTTTCTCATCTCCAGATCAACGGGAGTCTATGGAACGTGGTAGAACTCAACCTATATCTTTATTGCTGCCTTTCCTCCTCTTCCATTCACCAGTAGACCAATGTGGTCGTCAGCAAGCTTACATGCCTGTTCATGTGTTCCCTTTGAGTTTCAGTCTTAGAGGGGCTGAGTTTGATTTCTGACATGCTAACTCAAAGGAACCCTTGGGTTATCCAGGCAGAGGTGTTTATGGAAACTGGTTACTAAAAATACACAATTGCAAATTAGCGATACACATTTAGGAGCCATCCACATATAGACACAAGTTGGCACTGCCATAGTCTTACACTCAGCACGAACATGTAGAACGAACAGACGAACCCACAGGGTAAGGACAGGAGTGAATACCAAAACCAAAGGGATGAATGACGGTGTCTCTCCTCTTATCTATCCTCTCCATGTAGGCTCCCTTCTACATTCCTGGGAGCTTTAGTTTATAAATTACCCCAATTCCTTCTTCTGCTCTACCCTACTGGGTACCCTCTCCCTCCTACCTGAAGCCTTCCTTGTAGGCATAAGTTGGTGGTGGTTGTGTGCCTTTAAGCTAGTTCTAACTCATAGTGACCCTAGATAGGATTTCCAAGCCTATAACTCTTTATAGAAGCAGAAAGCCTCATCTTTCTCCCAAAGAGAAACTGGTAGATTCAAAATGCTGACCTTGCAGTTAGCAGCCCAGCTCATAATCCACTGTGTTACCAGGGCTCCTTTATAGGCATTTGATGGTGGTGATTAGGTGCCACTGAGTTGGTTCTGACTCACAGTGGCTCTGTATAGGGTTTCTGAGGCTATATCTTTATGGGAGAAGAAAGCCTCATCTTTCTCCTGCAGAACAGATGGTAGTGTCGAAGTGTTGACCTTGAGGTTAGCAGCCCAACTCGTAACCAGTATGCTATCAGAGTTCCTTAACAACAATATCATCCTTTAAAAAAAGGTTTTCTGGATGACACAACTATTTCTAGCTACCACCCTCCACCAGCTAAGTGTATTAAAAAATTTGTCTACATCGTCATCTCAGTTCCTCAACTCCCACTCTATCCTCCAATACAATCTGGTTTCTGACTCAGTCACTACATGAACTGCTGCTGTTAGACACCATCAAGTTGGCTCCTAATTCATGTTGACTCCACACAAAGCCATCTGTTCAAAATGCTGTCTGGTCCTGCATCATCCCCACAATCAGTGGAGGAACAACCTGCTGTGATCCACTGTGATTTCACCAGTCGATTTTTCAGACTAGGTAGTCAGGCCTTTCTCCCAAGTCTTACTCAGGAAGCTTGCCTGAAATTTGTTCAGTATCACAGCCATGCACAAGCCTTCACTGACAGAGAACTGATGGCGTGAAGTGCACTGGCTGAGAACTGAACCCATGTTTCCAACATGGAAGGTGAGAAACTGGTCTTCCTGACGTCACAAATGGCCTCACAACACTAATCAAAGGATTAATCTTCAGTCCTCAGTCTGACCTCAGATAAGCTTGACTCTTCAGTACTCCTTCCTGGGAAACACTCTTGTTATCAGGGAGACCACCCTTCCTTCTCTGGTTTTCATCTTACCTTTCTGTATGCAATTTCTTAGATGCCTTTCTGGGCTCAATCTCTTCTACTTGGTCATTGAAATTTAGGATTTCTCATGACCTAAACTTAGTGCTTTTTCTTATTCTTGATCTCTCTCTTTTTAAAAAACTTTTTATTGTGAATTGAATGAAGGTTTAGAGAGAAGATTCTCAGTTTAACAGTCAGCAAATCTTACACTTTGCTTCATCTCAATGATTACAATCCCTTCCATGGAACAACACTTATCCACTTCCTCCCTGTGGTTCTATTTCTGTTCCACCCTCCTTCCCATCCCTTCTCAACTTTGTCCTTAGGTAAATATTGCTCTTTTGATTTTGAATGATTGGCCATTCCATCATGAGCATACCTTACTAGTTTTGTTGTCCCCACCCCTGTGTATCTATCGACTACTTGGCTGATAACTGGGCCACGAGGGTGGTTAAAGGTCATAGTCTCAGGTTCCTCCAGATTATTTCTGACCAGTAAGCCGGTCTTTTTTAAAAAATAATTTTGAGTTTTGTTCCACATTTTCTCCCATTGTATCCACGACCTTCTAATGTGATCCCTTTCTTAGCAGTTAGTAGTAGTAACAGGGTACCATCTAATTCTTCGGGTCTCCAAGTCATGGGGACTAATGTTCACATGTTCCATTAGTCCATTGGACTAATTGATCCCAAGCACCTTAAATTCTCATCACTCTTTTGTCTTCTACGTATGGACAGACCAATAGCTGCACCTTAGATGGCTGTAAGATCCCAGACACTACTCACCCAAGTAGGCTGTAGAACACTGTCTCTGTGGACTATGTTATGACAATTCACCATGGTGGCCCATGAGTCTCTCTCGCTCTTCAATTCTAACCTGACTATAAATAATATCCAAATTTATAACCTGTCTATATTCCTTTGAGCCCCATATCTGTGCATTGCATCTCTACTACTTCTTGGACTCTTAGTGTGGCACTATAGGAGCAGCACTGGACTGAGAACCACAAGGATCAACAATTCAAACCCACCAGCTGCTCCTCAGAAACTCTGTACAGGGTCGCTATGAGCTGGAACCGACTTGATAACACTTTAACAACAGCAACTTTTATAACTTAATAGCTCTTCAAACTTAAAATATACAAAAGATAACTTACGTTCACTACCACCCTACCTGAACCTGGTCCTCTTTCAGTGGTTTTCATATAACTGAGTTATGCCAATATTATTGCATCTCTAGAAGCCAGAAGCCCAGGAGTTAAACCTTACACTTCCCCTTTCCCTGCCTTCCCCACAGCAAAATCAGCAAAGTCATACCTACATAATCTCTCAAATCTGTTCCGTTCTCATCCTAAGAACTGCCAGCATGCAGACTCTGTGAAGGCTTCAAAATACCTCTTCTTATCAATTGTTTTCTTCACTCAACAGTGTGATCATCTCAAAATTTCATATGAGACCACATTCCTACCAACATTTTCCAATGGCCTCTATTCCACTTACAACCATAAGACTAAACTCCTTACTTTGGTCTATAAGGCCATACAGGGCCAAGCTCCCTGCTTACCTCTTCATTTTATCTGACATTAATCACCCCTCCAATTTCTGCATTTCAGTCATACTGCATTTTTTTTTTTTTTTAAGTTTTTACTGTGAATTGTGTGATAGTTTACATGGGAGAATACCAACTTTACATCCATTCCATCATATTTCATTTCATTGTAATGATTACAATCCCCTCCATACACTACAATTATTTTACTTTCTGAAATTCATCATGCTCCTATATTCTGTCAGCACTGGTCTTACAAATGCAGTTCTCTTTGTCTGGAATGCTCTTCTCCCATCTTCTATGGTGTTGTTGTTGTTATGGATCGTGAAGTCGGTTCTGACTTACAGTGACCCTGTACAGTTTCTGAGGCTGTAAGTCTTTACTGCAGAAGAAAGCCTCATCTTTCTCCTGTGGAACAGCTGGTAGTTTTAGACTGCTGACCTGAGGTTAGCAGCCCAATTCATAACCACTATGCTACCAGAGCTCCTTTCCCATCTTCTATAGAGAAAGATGAGGTGGTCTGCTCCTGTAAAGATTTACAGCCTCGGAAACACTGTGTAGGGTCGTTATGAGTCGGAACCGACTCCACGGCACATAACAACAACAACAACATAGATATCCTTATATTGTGCCAATTTATTTCCTGCTAATTCTTTGATTTGGGCTTCAACAGCACTGCTTCTGGGAACCCTTCATGACCCTAAGGACTAACTGATTCTCTTGTTATAAGGTATTAGAGCACTTGTCACTTTTTCTTTATAATATTAAAGATAGCTAATTATTCTACATTATGTTGTGCCCATTTGACTAATGTCAAGTTCCATAAGAGCTACATTCAATCATTATATCATCTACAGTGTCTTGCATAGCATTGTTGTTTCTGTTGTTAAGTGCTGGTGAGTTGGTTCCGACTCATAGTGACCCTGTATAGGGTTTTCAAGGCTTTAAATCTTTGCAGGATCAGAAAGCCTCATCTTTCTCCCAGGCAGTGGCTGGCAGGCTCAAACTGCAGACCCTGTGGTTTGCAGTCCAGTGATTATCAGATGGAGCATTATAGTTGGTGCTTGGTAAGCATCTGTTAACTAACTAAATAATAAGAAGGGAAAATGGAACTGCATTTATGAAAGATAACGGTGATTCAGAAAAGAGGGTGATCTAAAATTTAAGATCTGATAAGAAAAAAATCATCAGAAAGAAAAGAATACTACTTTTAAAAAGGTTAAGTTAAGAGCTAGCGCTATAGGATCAAATTGACAACAGCAGCTTGAAAGGTTAAACAGGAAGCTTAGCGGGCAGCGAGTTGAAGTTATCTGGACAGGAACAGCTCAGAAAAGGAACATGACAATGGCCGCACAATTCAAAGAACATAATCAGCATCACTGAAGTGCGCAGGCAGGAATTGTTGAGTTGGCCTACGTTTTGCTGTTTGTATTCTCAACAAAATAAGATACCTATTGCAATTAAAAAGCACACACACACAAAGATCAAGTATGCAGAGCCATGAAAATAGGACACTGGTATTTCACAATATAGTATGAAAATCTTAGGGAAAAGAGTTCTCTTGGAGTGATTAGAGAGGAAGGCCAACTGCTTAGGTGAAGACATGAGAAGAGTGAACAGAAAGAGTGAAGGCAAGATATCTTTTTAAGAAGGATTTCTGAGAGCTTTCGAAGAGGAGCATTTACCTTTTAATATCTCTATGGATATGATGGTTTTCATGTAAAAAATTGATGCCATTAGCTGCACCCTGAGCAATGTTGCATCTCGTGTGCCAAGAAAGTGGTGTAGTGCCATCCTTATGAAGAAACAAACAGACCAATTAAAAAAAAGAGAAAAGAAAATCTATGGAAAATATACAATCAAAATATTTTTCTAGACAACAACTGAAAATGGTATTACTGTGAAATCTGAGAGCCAGAATGTGAAAGGATTGCCTTGTGTTTCTGGGTCTCACAAGGTTTCTGCTTTGGACAGAGTGCACTGTTATCATTTTTCTAACGTTTGCTTTAGTGTAAAATAATTGGGTTTTCTTTCTCTGGAAGGTTTCTGCTTTATACAGGTTCCCACTTTTGGAGGTTTTACTGCTTATTGCTAATTAAGAATTTAGGACTATAATTTATTTTTAAGTTGCTAGTAAATAATCTTTAAATAACATCAAACAGGGGGTTACCACTTCTTATTTTTAGATAAAAATACATGAGCATCTTCCAAGTCCAGCCTTGACTGATAATTTTGCATCTTAGCTTCTCAACCAAGAGAATGGACATCTCAGTTGTTCACACATCAGCTGTGCAGTTTTCACAGAAAAGGGAATATGTGAAGCGTAATATGGTTTAAATGATCCTGTCACAAAGCGAATGTTAGTATTTTGACACAGAACCAGAAAGCCAAATAATTTGATGGACAAACATCTTACCAAACAAGACAGTCTGTCAAGCAATGAACCGTTGGGCATGTAAACATAAACTAAGCAGAGATCGTCACCATCACTAGAGAAACCAAGTAGTTCTACTAAGTTTTCATGTTGACACCTGTGACAAACAATTTCCATAATTAAACTTACCACCAGAATGGTTATAATACACATTTATATACTCAGCTGTTGGTGGAAAATTATTTACTTTAGAGCTTTAACAGGAAAATCATGATATGCTATATATCATTATTAATATATTATTTATGGTATTATAACTTTCTATAGCAAACATTCAATAATCTAGATGAGTGGAATTTGTGATAGTTTGGTAAAGAACTAGACTGAGGTTTCTATTTGTTTATCACAATTTACAATTACGATATTAGGAACAAGAGATCAAGAAGTCTGGTATGAAATGATTTCCAGTGTTTTGACTCCAGAATGTGGAAAAAACAGATCTGCAAGTATCTGTTCTCTAATCAGATTTAATTTATACATTCCTGATCCTTAATCACATTTGATAACGTAACTGTACCTAAGCTTCTTTATGTACTTGTGAGTAATAAAACTAAAGAGGGCTGTAGTGTACTCGAACTGTAGGCACCTATAATATGGAACAAACCTGGGCACAGAGTATCAAGTCCTAACTAAGTTTAAAGTCCAGCTCGGCCACCTACTGGATATGTGACCTACAGCAAGTTAGAAATCTCACTGAGCCTCATCTCCTTTACCTATGAATGGGGGTAATACTACCTATGATGGTACACAGATGCTGTGAAAATTATGAGCATCCTGGTGTGGTGCTGTGGGCTAATGCATCTGACTCCAAAGTTGTTTGAACTGCAAGGTCAGTGGTTCAAGCTCACCAGCTGTTCCTTGGAAACCCTATACAGGGTCACTATGGGTCGGAATTGACTCAATGGCACTTAACAACAGCATATGGAGCTGTGTGTTAATGCACTGTACTGCACGGTTGGCTTGAACCTCAAGGCTGGCATCTCAAGTTCACCAGCCATTCCTCAGAAACCCTATACAGGGTTTCTATGAATGGGAACTGACTTGACACCACTTAACAACACTATTCATATGGGAGAGCCTAGTTACTCCAGGTACATGATAAAGGTTCCACGCAAGTGTTCATTCAAAACGTTCTAAAATTTTCATTGTTCATTATATCAAAGCAGCCTTCCTCTGTTGTGTCTGTTAGAACTCACTGTGACTCTGTAAGGCAGAGTAGAGCTGTCCCACAGTGTTTCTAAGGCTGCAATATTTACAGAAGTCGGCAGTCACACGTGTATCTTTCTCCCATGGAGCGGCTGGTGGGATCAAACCATTCACCTTTCAATGAACAGTCAAGCGCTTAGCACTGCATCACCAGGGCTCCTTAGACCTCTCCTACATTCACTTTATAAATATTTTAATAAGTGTAAATTAAAATAACAAGTGTTCTACTTTCTACCAAACTGGTGCATTTTTTAAAATAATGAGTTAACATATGCTAAGTTTACATAATGTGTAAGGAACTATGGTCATGATTGGATCTCTTTGTTTTAGTTAATTCTTGTAAGAACTCAATGAAGTTAGCAATATTATTGTTCCAGTTTAGAGATGAGAAAACACACGAATAGAGTATGAAGCTTAACTAAGGTCATTCAGTAGTAAGGGCTTACTACAAAACAGTATGAGCAATGGTGGTGAGGAGCAGTGACATTTAAAACCACCACATGCCGCTGGTAGGATTGCCAAGTCATCACTTATCCAGACAGTCCTTTGGACACTACTTAGAAAGTCTTTAAAAAGTTCACGTACTTTGACCCAGAAATTCTAGGATTTAATCCTGATGAACTAAGCAGAGTTGCTTTTAAATTTTTATGTACAAAGGTGTTCTTAAGAGCTTTAATTTGTAATACTGAAAATGAGGGAAAAAACTAGTAGATAAATGATACTCACATATTATAGAATGAGATAAAATATTTTCAAATTATTTTTAATGACATTAGAAAGTTGCTACACATAAACATAAAGGAAATACATCAAAGTAATAGCAATAATAATCTCTGGGTGTTTTTTTAAGTGATAATTTTTATTATTTAAAGAATATTTTCCTGCATTTCTCAGATTATCTACTTTGAACATGTATCTTTTAGGATTGTTGTTGTTGTTAAGTGCCATCTAGTCGGTTCCAATTTATAGCAACCTTGTATAGGGTTTCCGAGGAGCAGCTGGTGAGCTTAAACTGCTGACCTTGCAGTTCAAACCAACTTTGCAGTCTAGCACATTAACCCACAATGCCACACCAGGAGTTCATCTTTTAGGATTAGAGTATGAAGTAGAGGTTAGAGAACAAATTCCGAAATAAAAAAAAGGAGTTTAGATTTTTTTCCAGGGTTATTTTCACTGTAACTGAGTGAATCCCAGTTTAGTTCTTTCTTCAGGTATAGCAATTAGCAAGGGGCCTAATGGGTATAAATTAGTTCTAAAGAGTTAGGTCCATTATGATTCAAACTGAGGACTCCGACTGGATTGGATTCTGGAATGAGAAAGTCTGGGTCTGAATCTCAGCTCTGATACTTAGTGGCTTAGTTTTCATTGGCTGGTTTTCAAAAGTAGGTCACCAGGACTTTCTTTCTAGTCCATTTTAGTCTGCATGCTCCCCTGAAATCTGTTCAGCATCATGGCAACACGTAAGTCTCCACTGGCTGCACATGAGGAGCAATGAGTAGGAATTGAACCCAGGTCTCTGTTCTTCCTGGTAAGAACTGGAACACTGAGCCATCAGTGTCCACTGCTGGGAAAAAACCCCAAACTCCACTGCAGTCAAGTCAATTCTGACCCACAAAAGCCCTACAGGGCAGAGTAGAACTGCCCCCTAGGGTTTCCAGGGGTGTCAATCTGCCACATCCTTCTCCTGTGGAGCAGCTGGGGAGTTAGAGCCCCTGGCCTTTTGGTTAGCAGCTGGGCTATTCAACTACTGTGACACCAGGGTTCCTATCATATATTTAAGGGTCTGGTGGCTCTGTAGGATAAGCACTGAACTGTGAGCCACAGGTCAACAGTTTGAGTGCACCAGCCACTCCACAGGAGAAAGAGAGGCGTTCTGCTCCTGTCAAGATTTAAAGCCTTGGAAACCCTATTCAGGGTCACTCTGTTGAAATGGACTCCACAGCACTGAGCAACAACACCAAATGATTATATCTATATATATAGTTTAAAAATATCTCCCAATTTATCTCTCATAAATTCTGAAAATAAGATCATGGAAAGCAGTAAGGGAATTGAAACTTCCTGTAGCATTGCTGTGATTTAAAACATGACTGCTGTTCAATACACGTATAAGTACATGCAGTCATAGAACTGTAGACCTTTATTCTAAACTATCACTAGTTCTTGGCACACTATGGGTATGAAATACCTTTCCTGTTCTGCCAAATTAACACTTACTTTGCCATTACTTTTATTTCTTGATCAAACTGTTGCTTCAGTTCTTCAGTACTGATGTCAACCACCTGAAAAAATAAGATGAAATACAATACCACCCCATACAATAGCTCCATGTCTCCTAAAACTGGAAGCAAGCTCAATAGATAAATTGGCTAATCCCTCATTCTTGAAAACAAAAAGGCATTTCTTCCCATTTTATAAAACAACTGAGAGCTAGACTGATTTGTAATTTGCTTAAAGTCCCACATCTATCTAGTGAGAAAGGGAAGAACCATATATGCTTGCCATGTGAGGAAAAATGCAATAATATATGAGACTTCACTGCATTAGCATCTTGGGCGAGAAGTCTACATTTTAATAGTAAACAGAAGAAAATTTTGTAGGGAACATCTGAGTATTTGTAACATATCTGACAAGGGTGACTATCATACAAATATTTATTGCATTTGTATTTTTGGAACATAACAACAGATTTACTCTGGTTGTCAGGTACTGTCAAGTTGCCTTTGACTTCGAATGACTCCATGTGTTAGAGGAGAACTGCTCCATTGGGTTTTCAAAGTGATCATCTTTACCGACCCATAGCACCCCTATATGACAGAGTAGGACTGTCCCATAAGGCTTCCTAGGCGGTGACCTTCATGCGAGCTGATTGCCAGCTGTGGAGCAGCTGGGTGGGTTTGAACTACCAACCTTTCAGTTACCAGCTTAACCATTCTACCACTAAGATTCCTTACAGCAGAGTTAGATTTAGAAGATAACGACAATAATAAGTAAATGGTGAACAGCCTAATAGAAATAGAAGCAAAGTACATAACAAGAAAATTATCTTTTTCTGTTAATGTGTTTTTTCTAAGGTTTTATTTTTAAATGAGAAAGTTAATGTAAGGAAAGTTATTCCGTTTTAGATATTTTTCTTCACCTGTTACTATTTTAATCTTGATTATGTATGAAATGCTGTGTAGAGCAGGGCTTCTCAATTTTATTTAGTGACATCCCAATAATTTTTCTATATACACATGTATTTTCCTAGGGCAGGCACTTTCTGACAGATTTTTATATTAAGAATGACTCAACAGCTCTAACACCACCACCACCAATGTAGAATAATGTTTTCTTAAAGAAAAGCCGCTCTCCCTTTAATTCTTTTTCTTCCTGTAAATATAACTTACTGCTGCAAGCTTCTTTACTGCCACGGTTCTGTTGTTCAAGGAGCCTTTATAAACAACTCCAAATCCTCCTTCTCCCATTTTGTTACCGCCGGCAGAAAGGGGCCGCTCATCAAAGTTATTTGTGACATTCTTCAACTCATAAAATGAAAAGCTATGAAAACCTATGTCAATAAAATAAAGAAAAAAGTGCTTGGATAAAAACAAACATGCTGGTTTCAACAATTCAATATTTTCTCAATTTAGAGGTTTAACATATATGTAAATATTTCCAGTTTTTGATGACACTGTTTGGGAGAGGGTATAAAGCAGTTATTTAAATACAAATGGCAAGCTCTCTATCTTGAGGATTCTGTTTAATTCTTTGCCGATTTTAGTGGAAAGAAAAAAATGTCATCTTCTACTCAAAACTTTATTAGTAAATTTTCTTTACAAAAATGACCTGTCGAGTTGTGTAACTATTTACACTTTTTTTTCCCATAGCTTTGGTAGTTGTTTGGATGTCCCACTGCCTGTATTCATGGATAATCCACTTCAACAATGAAGATGCTACTGTTATTGTGAGCCGTGGAGTTGGTTCCAACTCATAGCGACTCTGTATAGGTTATCCAAGGCTGTAAATCTTTATGAGAATGCTCATCTTTATCCCATGGAGTGTCTGCTAGATTCAAACTGCTGACCCTGCAGTTAGCTGCACAATGTGTAACCCACTACCTGCTTGTTGTCGTTGTTGTTAGGTGCCATCGAGTTGGCACTGACTCATAGTGACCTTATGCACAGCAGAACGAAACAATGTCGGATCCTGGGCCAACCTCACTACTGTTGCCACACTTGAATCCATTGATGCTGCCACCTGGCCAATCCATCTCGCTGGGGGTTTCCTCTTTTCCTCTGACCCTCCATCTTACCAAGCATGATATCCTTTTCCAGCGACTGTTCCCTTCTGACAACATGTCCAAAGTTTGAGAGACAAAGTTTGGCCATCTTGGCCTCTAAGGAGCACTCTGGCTGTACTTCTTCCAAAACAGATCTATTGGTTTTTTTGGCAGTCCATGGCATTTTTAGTATTCTCCTCCAACACCACAATTCAAAGGCATCAATTCTTCTACGATCTTCCTTATTCACTGTCCAGCTTTCACATGCATATGAGAGGTTAATGAAAATACCATGGCTTGTTGTCAGGCGCACCTTAGTCCTCAAGCTGACAACTTTGCTCTTCAATACTTTAAAAAGTTCCTGTGCAGCAGATTTGCCTAATGCAATACGTCATCTGATCTCTTGACTGCTGCTTCCGTGAGTGTTGATAGTTGATCCAAGAAGAATGAAGTCCTTAACAACTTCAATCTTTTCTCTGTTAATAAGAATGTTGTTTATTGGTCCAGTGGTGAGGATTTTTGTTTTCTTTACATTGAGATGTACTCCATACCAAAGGCTGTGCTCTTCATACAATAAAGATAGGCTTAATAAATCATTAAAAACCCCACAAAAGAGCTATTACCATTGCACCTCAGGCTGCACAAATAAAAGGGAAGGTTTTACTGGTTTACTTTAAACCAGTCATGGGCTTACTGACAAATTCAGTAGTGGAAAGTACTACAATGCTACTTACGTGTATCACTAGCCTCTAAACTTTCATTCTCTGTACTTGAGGAGTCAGGAGGCAGATAGCTCAGTTCAAGGTTGCGTACTGGCACCACAGATGTCTCGGCTCTGCCATAGAGAGGCACCTGTTTCTGCTGAGCTGTTACTGCTTCATGAGAAGGTACTGTATACACAGTTTGGGGAACAGCATCTGCCAAATGAAATATGATACCAGTTTACCTCCAACAAAAAAAAGTGCTTATTAAAAAGTTTAGCTAGGAACTCGTTTCACCTAACATCACCCTAAATCCCTTATAGAACACACAGGAAGCTATCCAGGGAGAATATGTAAGCTATGCTGAAGATGAGTTGCATGGAACACTGGGTTTCACCGAACCTGCATCAGTAGCACTGGAGTACTTGTTTCAGAACATAGACTTTGAACCCAACTCCAGAGTTCTGATTACTTCAGGCACTAATCTGTACAAGAGGGTTTCAAAAAAATCTGTGGAAAAACTCCATTGTCTTTCAATTCCATTTTTTCCAGTAACTTTTTGAAGCTACTTCACACATTTAAGAATCATCCCAGGTGACTGATGCACAGTAAAAATTGAGAACCACGGGTATCAGTAATATCAAAGGGGAAAAAAGCAAGATTGTGAGGAAAGAACTGGGTATGCAAGCACAGTGAAAGAGAATGCAAGAAACTCATGATCATAAAGTCTCACTGGGAAATAATTTTCTACAGCCCAAACGGGGATTCTGAAATCTGTATGCTATTGTTAATACTGGAACAAAACGACCTGACTTTCTGATGGAATCAGATTCCATGAGGAACCTCCAGCAGCAGAGCAGCAGAGTCTTCAGGGTCCTGGGCTGCTTGTTAGGGGGCTGGAGAGAGTTGAAGGAATGAAAAGGACTGTATGAATCAAAGTAAGGTTCACCCACTATTATGGATCAAATAGTGTTCCCTGCCCCCAAATATGTGTCAACTTGCCTAGCCCACCATTCTCAATATTATGTAACTATTTTCCCTTTTGTGGTCTGATATAATTAGTGTATGTGTTATAATTCCTAACCTCTATGGAGTCCTGGTGTGGCGCTATGGGTTAATGCACCAGACTGCACAGCCATTTGAACTGCAAGGTCGGCGGTTCAAGCTCACCAGCAGCTCCTAGGCTACCCACTGGAACCCACTGGAATGGCACTTAACAATAACAGTGATGCTAATGAGCAGGGTTAGGGCAGTTATGTTAATAATGCAGGATACAATTTTCAGGATGAAGTTGTTAACTTTAGTAAATCTCTTTTGAGATATAAGAGATTAAAAAAGCAAGATTAAAAAACCTCAGTAGCACCCAGAAAGATGAGCCAGGGCTGAAGCATGTAATTGGAACCAAGAGTCCATGTGCTGAGAAGTATCTAGACCCAGGGGATGACTGATGCCAAGACACATGGAGATCTTTAAAGAACACCAAGCCCACAGATGCTGAAAGGAAACACGGATCTTCCTCCTAAATTATAAGCCTACAGAGAAAGCCTCCCCCTTGGAGTCCTGGATTCAGACTCCTAACCAATGAAATAATACATTTCCATTTGTTAAATGTATCTACGTGTGGTATTTCTGATATAGCAACACTAGATCACTAAGATGCCTACTATAAGAAAAAAATTAAGAGTGAGAAGAACTGTTCCTGTTTCTGACATTTATATTTGCAACTAATTGTTAACATCCTGGTTACACTCAGTTTACCTGGCAGCAAAAGACTTGCAGGGGCAAGAAACTCATTTTGTATCAAAAGATCCACGAGATCACCAACTGTGCAATTTGTGGTGCCCCAGTCAAACAGTAATTCACAAGTGGGACTTTTTCCAGTCAGAAGTAAGGCTTCAAATCTCCTTAAAAGCAAGTAACAAACAAAATTAGCATTAAAAGACTTAATATGAAAATAAGAATTATTCCTCCTGGCTTTTCTTCCATCACCACCAATAATACTTATTAGAGAAAAAGGCAGCAAAAGACCTAGTGACAATTACAAAGAGACAGGAAAGACAGGTAGAAGGAAAAAAGATGCCAAAGATAATGGTAACAGAAGTTAGTATCTACTCTGTACTTAACTGAATTCTTAGTAGGCTAAAGGATATTCAAAAGTGAACTCATTTATAGGTATACCTAGGAGATATTGAGGGTTCAGTTCCAGATCACGGCCATAAGGTGTCACATAAATGTTTTCTTTTCCTGGTGCATGTAAAAGTTATGTTTGCACTATGCTGTAGTCTGCTAAGCATTATGAGAAAGTCTGAAGTATTCTAAGAATTACCAAGATGTGACACAGAGACATGAAATGAGCACATATCCTGTCAGAAAAATGATGCCAAAAGGCTTGCTCAGTGCAGCTGTTGTTGGGTGCCCTGAAGTGGGTTCCGACTCCTAGTGCCCTATGTATAACAGAACGAACCACTGCCCGATCGTGCACCATATCCACAATCATTGCGATGTTTTGAGTCCATTGTTGCAGGCACTGCCTAATGCAGGGTTATGACAACCCTTTAATTAAAAAAAAAAAAGTGCAATTATCTGTAAAGTGCAATAAAGCAAAATGTAATAAAACAAGGAATGCCTGTAATTCTCAAAGATACTATGATTATTATCACTGTTTTACTAATGAGAAAGCTAAGCTTGGGAGGGTGAAGTAACCACAATCCATAGTCACATAGTCAATAAACTACACACAATGATATTTGATTTCAAATCTGACTTGATCAAAAGGTATACGCTCAATCTACTAAACTATATTACTTCCCTATGTAAATTATTGATTCTGTTAGCTATATAAATTTTAATAAATAAATCTGCATAAAGAAATAGAATATACACAGACCTAGGGAATTATTCCTTTGATCTTAACTACACTTTAATAAAATTGAAGGAAAAAGATCAGTTTTCTCTCCTGTTTCTTTGAAAATTGTTTTGAAAAGTAACATTTAAAACAACCAATAAATTGCTTTTCCTTCAAATTTTGAAAAAACTCAAACCTATAGTTGAAAGAACTGTAAAATGAACAAACATTTACTCTTCCCTCAGATTCATGGAATGACAAATTGATAACATTTTAGTATAATTGTGTTCTAGCCCTCTTGCTTGCTTTGGCTTTGTGTGTGTCTATATTTTACAGTCCAGGCCAGCTGTCTTACAGAATTTTTCACAATCTAAATCTATTGATTTTCTCATGATTAAATTCAGGTTCATAATCTTTGGGTTGGACACTGCATAGATAATTGTGTGTCCTTCCCACTGTATTACATCACATAATGGCAGTTTGAACCATTATTGGTAATGCCAAGTCTGAGAACAAATGTATCTTGTCCTCTACATCGTTCATAAGTTATCTGTGGATAATACTTAGAGACCCTGTGAATATTCTGTTCTTCAATGACTTTTCACCTATGGTTTTAACACTCACTGATGAATCTTGCACGGATCAATTATTCAATGGCGGTTGCAAATTGCTAACTTTCTAATGCTATCATCCGTCAACAAGCAGACGTGCTTCTGTAAAGAAGAGCTTTTCCTCCCCACCACCCCACCACTGGAGTCCCAGTGTGGCGCTGTGGGTTAGTGTGTTGGACTACAAGGCTGGTTTGAACCTCAAGGTTGGCAGTTCAAGCTCACCATCCACTCATTGGAAACCTTATACAGGGTTGCTATGAGTAGCAACTGACTCAACGGCACTTAACAACAACCCTACCACTGTCCCAACCACCCTCTGTAATTTTTTCAAAGTAAGCCCAGCAAACTATATTTAATAATTGGCTTTTGATGTTAAACTTGGACCTCTTCCAAGTAATTTAAGTAGCTCACTCTTCAAATGAGGAAACACTTCCAGGAAGAACTAATAAGGTAGTCAAGCTTTTTGTTTCTTTAGCAGGTTAATGTTGAAAATCACAAATTACTTTTCCTCTTGCTACCAAAGACAGCTCTGACAGACATTTGTTTGAACAGCAATGACTGACAAAAATAAAATTTGTATTATATTTTACACTAAGGCAAACAAGATGAGTAGAGAGGAAAACTGAATAGAGAGGAAGACAGTGTTGGAGAATCCTGGCTAAAGAGGAAAATTTTTGTTCACAGATATATATGCTTACAAGCAACAACTTTAAAATGTCAATTTAAAAAATTACTCAAGTACATTGGCCAAGGAAATTAAAGATTCACACACTGAGATATGGAGGCTTCAGAATTTTACTAGAGATTTTTTATAACATCCTTAGGTTATCACAATCTGTAAATGAGAAGTGTGAGGCAGAGTGAACTGTACTTTTCTTGACAAACAGAGAACTTGAGCAAAGGTGGAAATCTTTTTAATTCTAACATAAACTTATTTGACAGGCGACAGTTTGAGAGTCAAGCTGAAATGAAGTAAAAAACAAAAGGAAAAAAAAGACAGAGAAGGAGAGAGAGACAGAGATTACTTGTTACTTTATTTCCACCGGAGAAAACTCCACTCTAAACTACAACATTGGAAAGTATTTACGTGCATTAATCATTCTAGATTGTAATACAATTTTTTTTTTTTTTTAATGTATACATTACCTTGGAGCTCTGGTAGCGTAGTGGTTACGAATTGGGCTGCGAACCTTAAGGTCAGCAGTTCGAAACTACCAGCTCCTCCGCGGGAGAGAGATGAGGCTTTCTACTCCCGTAAAGATTTACACCCTCGGAAACCCTGTACAGGGTCGTTATGGGTCGGAACCGACTCGATGGCACTTAACAACAACAAAAACAACATACATTACCTTATGTGAAACTGATTGTATCTTCCATCACCGGATGGTTTTTTAATAGCTACAGCTAACTTTTTCCATCCTTCTTGAGGATCAATAAAATCTGACAATTTTCTAATTAGTCCAACATTGAGGCAGCGCACATATGTTGATGAAGTTATAGGTTTGTTCATCTTCTACTCCTAAAATATGGAAAATCCCCATTAAACTTTTACATTAGCTTTAGATATAATATCGACAGACATATACAGTTGGCAATCTGTTACAGCACAATAAAGGAACATACTAAATTCAACTAGTTGATACTCTAAGAGGGAATTAAATTGTATTTTATTTGTACAATTGTCCTCTGACATTGACTTTTGTTGTTGATTGTTGTTAGGTACCATTGGTTCTGACTTATAGTGACCCTATGCATAGCAGAAAGACCCTTGCCTGGTCCTGCACAATTTGAGGCCATTGTTGCTCCATTTTGTCAATTCATCTTGCTGGGGTACTCTTCGTTTTGGCTTACCCACTGCTTTACCAAGCATGATGTCCTTCTCCAGGGACTTACCAACTGTGACAACATGTACAAAGACTGAGAGACAAAGGTTTACCATCCTCCTCAGGTGCATTCTGCCTGTACTTTTTCCAAGACATATTTGTTTGTTCTCTTGGCAGTTCATGGAACTTTTTTTTTTAATTGGCAAAGGTAATTAATTAGACATTTTTCCAAAGAAGATAAGTAAATAGCCAATAAACATATGAAAAGATATTCAACATCATTAGCCATCAGGGAAATTACAAATCAAAACCACTATATTCACATCCAGTATGATGACTATAATGATAAATATAGTCAATAACAAGTATTGGTTATTAACAAAGAAATTACAAGTCTTGAACCCAATTGATGAAAACATAACTGGTGCAGCTGCTATGGATACAGTTTTGTGGTTCTTCTAAGATTTAAACATGGCTGTGTACTATCTATCATGTTGGTCCCGACTCATAGTGACCCTGTATAGAGCTTGAGAGGCTATAAATCTTTACTGAAGCAGAAAGTCTCATCTTTCTCTTATGGTTGTTGTTGTTAGGTGCATGGTACTTTTAATATTATTCTCTAGTACCATAATTCATATACATTGATTTGCACATGGTCTTCCTTACTGTTGTCCAACTTTCACATGTATATGAGCCTATTGAAAATACCATGGCTTGGGTCAGGAGCACCTTAGTCCTCAGACTGACATCTTTGTTCTTGAATACTTTAAAGAGGTATTGTGCAGCAGATATGTCTAATATAATACGTCTTTTGGTTTCTTGACTGATGCTTCCATGAATGTTGTTTGTGGATCAAAGCAAAATGAAGGCTTTAATAAATTCAAATCTTTTTTCCATTGATCATGATGTTATCTATTGGTCCAATTGTGAGGATTTTTTTCTTTTTTTTATATTGAGGTACAATCCATACTACAGACTGAAGTCTTCGATCTTCATCAGTATGTATCTCAAGTCCTCTTAGCTCCTAGTAAGCAAGGTTGTGTTATCTAAATATTTCAGGTCACCAAAAAGTCTTCTTCCAATCCTGATGCGACGTTCTTCATATAATCTAGTTTCTTGAACTCCTTACTCAACATACAGACTGAGTATGTATGGTGAAAGGATACAACCCTGACACACAAACCTTTCCGGATTTTATACCATTCAGTAGCCCCTTGTTCTGCTTAAACAATGGCCTCTTGTTCTACATACAGGTTCATCATAAGCACAATGTTGTTGGTGTTGTTAGGTGCCACTGAGTCGGTAC